CATTTGATCACAACCGTTGGATTTTTATCATACAACAGTTCACATTAATCACTCCATTTTAATAATACAAAAAAACCCCAAACGACCCTTACCCCCCCAAAATCAGAACCCCTCCCATTCGTCTCTCTCATCGATTCAGAGACGACCTGTCTCACCACNATCCCTAAACCACCCTAGTTCCACTCAAATCAAACCGGAGTTTGTCGAATCTCAATTCGAATGAACGAACGCTAAGTTTTCAAATCAAGAGCCTGTATTGAAGATTTGAGGCCGAAATAGGTTTTGTTCGTGTGTTCTCGTTTGAGAACTCGCGATTAAGACCTATTCCGACCAAACTCAAAAGATGCCGGATTTTGTTCAAGCCGAGCTGGTCGTTCATTTTAGGTATTTCCCATTTCCATTTGGAGTTTGTCAATTAGCTTTCATTTTTCTCATTTTTCTCTTCATCTCATTTTTTAGACTTCATTCGATATGTGTCTTTTCTGATTAATTTCCCATCACGTCAATTTGTTTTGGTTTGGTAATTGGTGTTGACTCGTTAATTTTAGTCAATTTTTGAAGCTAGTCAGTTGGTCGATTTGTTAGAACATTGCCGATTTTGCAATCGATAAATTAAGTTTGTCCGTTTGCTAAAATTAAGGATTAGTTCATCACAATATTTGAATCGCTTAGTCGGTTGTCACATTGTTTTGAATTGCTTGGTCAGTTGAAATACTTTGAAAATACATGAACTGTTGTTTTGGTTGTCACCTGAACCTACTGTTATTCCCTGTAAGGGTATTCTGAATCATTAAAATCCTTGGCCTTTATTTTGTTGCTATTTGATTCAACTTGGTTCAAGCTTAAGCTGTGGTTGAGTTTGATGAATTAAATCCTACTGTTTAGGGTCTGAAATGAATCTGACGTTGGTTTGAATTCAGTGTTGGTATGATAATGTTAATTAGATAGTAGTGAGTTATAAGATTGCATTCAGAACTTAGGAGAATTGGTTATAGCTGCAGTCACAGGGTCTTCAGGGGTATTTTGGGGTTTTAAAAGTTTGGCAAATAGTCTTGCTAAGTGGGCTGTCAGTAAAGTACTTAATTAACCATTAATCTAATGTGTTAGTGGGGAACAAAACATGATGGTATGGGAAGGCTTAAAAGAAATTGATTAAAATATGTTGCCCATACCTGCTTGAACTTTAAATAAAGGAAAGACAAGGGTTAATGGGGAACCAAAACATACTCTAGTGGAGTTCTAAAGAAGATCATGGGCAGAATTAGTTTCTTAGTTCTGCCTGAGTGCTCTTACGAGCTGGCAGGGTCAGTGTTTGGGTATAAATGGAGGGACTTAGGATAGAGTTAGGGGGGTTTTTTTATGAGAGAAGAGAGTTGGAGAGTTTAGGAGATTGAAAGGAAGAAAACTTTCTGAGAGAGATACCAACCTAAGAGATTGGAGAGCTGAAAGGATTTGAAGAAAGAAAAATCTATAAAAAATGAAAACGGTTGAAGTCCTTTTTTTCAAAAAAATACTGGAATTGTTAAGTTTTCTGCTTGATTTCAAGTTTTAATCCCCTTGTGAGAAGTCGGATTTGAAAGGATTCAGCAGAAGTGGTATATTTGGATTTTTGAACATCAGAATTTGGGTTTGAAAATCTGAGGCTTGACTTGCTGATTCTGTTACTGTTTCATTGCTGGGCTAACTTGATTTCTGTTGCTGCATGTTGCTGATTCTTCACCTCTTTTGTTTTCCTTGTTCATTACCAGGTATTACTTCAAATCATTGTCAACGAGTGACTAAGAACATGTACTTCGAGTTGAGGCCAGATTGAATACAAGCTATTTTGTTTCTTCTGGATTTTCCTTCATTCTCTTCTTCTACTTCTTTGAATGATCTGTAATAGATCTTATATTATACATGCTAGCCTAATTGTTGTACCGTGGAAATGAATTTGTGGCCTTTAAAAGTTCCTCATTTGTATGATGTCTTAATAGCTTGATTCCCTGTGTCTTCTGCTTAATCTCTGATTTAGGAAGTCGAGTTTGTATGCCTATATTTGATTTGGGACTGTTAGGGATAGTGCAACAGATGGTTTGTGCTGGTTATGCTATCAGTTTTTTTTTATTTCTATTGAGAGTCAGTGTGACGATTGCATATGGAATTTGCAAAATGACAAGTGTAATTTTCTATTTGAAGGGAATTATGATGTGATCTAAGGTTTGCTTGTTAAGTGTTGATTGGAAAAAAGGTCTGACTTGTGATATATAGATCCATGTTAAGAATAGTTTAATTTACCCATTAGTCTTGCTTAAAAGTTTTGGGAAGGAATCAATCCACTGTTTAATGTCCTGTGAAATGAGTGTTTGAATCTTGTAGTCTTGAAGTATGTTTTATCGTAAGGAAAAAGTTCAGGGACATAGTGTGAGGGATTGCATATTATTCTGTAAACACTTTCAAAATTGAGTAATCTCAGAGGTTGAATATTATTAGGTGTGGAGTAATGTATGCACTTGAAATTAACCATTTGTTTAAGGCTAGTTGGAACGCGATTTAGTTATTGAAAGGAGACGTTGTGTTTGTTTGCCAGAGTCTAAATGAATATGTTTGGGTTCTCATGGCCTTAAAGAGTGCTGCCATCTTGGGAGGGATTTGAATATCAAAAACATGCTTTGTATTTGTCTACATTTGCAAAAGCCTGCCCCTAATGGTTTAATTCTAAGCTCTACACATAATGGGTGATCTTGCTTGATTAATCATGTCAGAACATGCATCTGGGCTCCATAGCATTGGCACAACGTTCTCTCTTGGCTTTCAAGTACAGGCTTCACTCGAACCTATTTTCCCTTTTGGGTTCTCAACGAGCATGCTCGCATAAATGCTAATTGGGCCTGTTGGTCGATCGAGTTTCTCGCATAAGCTAAATAAGGGCTTTATTTTATTTTTCTAGCTAGCTTATACGTCTGTTTAGTTTAAATTCAAATCACGTTAAGCCTTAGCTAGTTAATTGAACTTTGGTTTAGACTTGAGGCGAGCCATATTAGACAAGTTTTAATTTATGGCCCTCATAAGATAGTTTAGAAACCATTTGTTTAGAATCCGAGGCATGCCATTTAGCAAATTTTCCCTGGCCCTCGCAAAGTTAAAATGCGTAGTTACTTTAGGCGCGTCATTTAATAATATTACCTTCCTAAAACTCGGGTGCACATTTATGTGACCCAAATCCAAATCTCGACAATGTTAAAATATGTCGAGGACCACGAGTGCATTTCTGTGACGTGGTTCAAGACTTGTTTTAATGACGTTGCAATTTTCTTAAAAAACAAATAAAAGCGGTTAAGGTTAAAATTTGCACATAGGTTCATAATTGTTAAAATCAGATAATTTAAGCCAAATATAACGGTTGAGCGACCGTGCTAAAACCACAAAACTCGGGAATGCCTAACACCTTCTCCCGGGTTAACAGAATTCCTTACTCAGATTTCTGGTTCGCGGACTGTAATACAAAGTCAATCTTTTCCTCGATTCGAGATTCAACCGGTGACTTGGGACACCATAAATCTCCCAAGTGGCGACTCTAAATCTTTAATAATAAATCCCATTTCGATTGTCCTTTAATTGGAAAAACCCCCTTATGCCCTTCCGGAGTGTAGTGAAAAAGGAGGTGTGACACTATCTGCCCACAAACTTGTGATACCAGGTCTTGGCACACACATTAGTAGACTATTTTTTTATTGGGATTGTATGGTACGATGTTAATTATCGCTTATTTTAAATTCAAACTTAGAGATTGTGGTAACTATTTTGGAAAAAGTAAAACTAGAACTCATTAATATTTCCGCGTTGGCTTGCCCGACAACGGTGTTGGGCGCCATTACGACCTGAAGTGAAATTGGGTCGTGACAACATGGTATTAGAGCACTAGGGTTACGTAGGTTACACAAGTCATGGGAAAACCTAATAGAGTCTTGCGGATAGGTACGAGAACATCTCTATTTATCTTCGAGAGGCTATAGGGTGTTAGGAAACTACTCTTTATTCATTTCCTATAGTGCAGTGGTTGGTATGCTAAATTTCCCACTTTTATTCTCTCATATATGGTGAGGACACACACGTCTGATGTTCCAGACTCGGGAGGAGCTGCTTCCCCCATTGCTAGAGGCTGAGGCAAAGGCCGGGGGAGGGCACCAACCTGAGGTAGGGGTCGAGGGCGTCCCAGAGTTGTACTAGTAGCACCACCGGTGGATCCTGCGGGAGATCCTATCATTAAGGAGCAGGGCGGGGTGCCTGCAGCTGAGCCTACCTCGACAGACTTTATGACAACATCGGGTTTCCAGGAGTTCATGGGCCATATACTGCGGTTCATGAACACCATGACTCAGGCTGGTTTATTTCTAGCAGATCCAGCTACATCACAGGAAGGAAGGGGAGCACAGACCCCTACTGCTTAGGCTCCTGGTCATGCAGTTGCAGTGTATCAGACTCTGGGTGCACTACCCATGGATGGGGCTCAGCCAGTTGCTGCAGTGGTGCCCGAGCCCAGACCAGCTGCAGATGGTGACCCGTAGAAGTTATTGGATAGATGGACTAGACTTCACCCTCCTGTCTTTGGGGGTGAGCGTCATGAGGATGTTTAGGATTTCATTGATAGGTGCAGGGACAGACTGCACAATATGAGGATATTGGAGTCGCACGGGGTTGACTTCACTACTTTTTAGTTGGAGGGCAGGGCCCGTAGATGGTGGCAGTCTTATGTTCTTGGCAGGCCTGCAGGTTCTCCTTCCATCACTTGGGGGCAGTTCACACAGTTATTTTTGGATAGGTATATTCTACCCTCTGATAGGGAAGAGCTGTGGTATCAGTTTGAGCAGGGTTAAATGTCTGTGACCGATTATGAGGTGAGGTTTTTTGAGTTATCCCTCCATGCATTGATGATACTTCCTACTGACATAGAGAGGGTGCGGAGGTTCGTTGTAGGGTTGCATTCTGACATTAGGGCTAACATGGCCTGAGAGGTGGAGATGAGGACTTCTTATCAGCTAGTGGTGGAGATTACTCTAAGGATCGAGGGTTACCGTCTGAGAGGTAGGGAGCAAATGCAGCAAGATAAGAGGTCTAGATTCTCTGGAGAGTTCAAAGGTGCCCCGGCTAGGGATAGAGGTTAGTTTTAGAGGGGTCAGCCCATCAAACCCCCATATTCAGCACCACCACCTGCTCGGGGTGCTCCAGCGCGCCCCTATTTCAGCGCCATACCAGAGAGTTCTTATTGTCCGCCAGCTATTCAGGGTTCTTCCAGTGGACATTCAGGTCCTCAAGGTTCTTCTGGTTCCTATTCCAGTGCTATGCCAGAGAGTTCATACCATCCTCTAGCCATTCCGAGTTGCTCCGGTGGGTATTCAGGTCATCAGGGCCAGGCTTCCGGACATCAGGCTATAGTGCCTAGAGGTTGCTACGAGTGTGGAGATCCAGGTCATATGAAGAGGACCTGCCCCAGTCTTCGGGGCTAGGTAGTACAGTAGGGTTAGCAGCCTATAATTCCAGCATCGGTTGCCCAGCCGCCTAGGGGCGGGGGATATAGTGGTAGAGGTCGTCCTACAGGTGGAGGCCAGACAGGGAGAGGTCAGCCAGCTACTGCTCAGTCAGGTGGAGGCCAACCAGATTCTATGCCTTTCCGGCCAGACCAAATGCATTGGCCTTAGATATTGTTATCACAGGTATTATTTCCGTCTGCGGTAAAGATGCTTCGATATTATTTGATCTAGGGTCCACCTATTCATATGTATCATCTCTGTTTGCTCGTTTGCTGGTTATTGCTCTTGATCCTTTGGGCACTTCTGTCCATGTGTCCACTCCTGTGGGCAGTTTAGTGGTTGTGGATTAGATCTACCGGTCCTGTGTGGTCACATAATGTGGTTTCGAGACTAGAGTAGACCTCATGTTGCTTGATATGATTGACTTTGAGGTCATTCTAGGCATGGATTGGTTATCCCCATACCACGTCGTCCTTGATTGTCATGCCAAGACTATTATATTATCGATGCTAGGGTTACCAGGGTTGGAGTGGAAGGGTACCACAGTGGATACATCTACTCGGGTTATCTCTTTCCTGAAGGCTCGACATATGGTCAAGAAGGGGTGTTTAGCTTATATGGCTTATGTTCGGGACACCACCGCAGAGTCTCCGACGATTTATTCAGTTCTAGTAGTTGGGAGTTCGCCGATATGTTTCCTTCTGATCTTCCTAGCATGCCACCAGATCGCGATATTGATTTGGCTCCAGGTACCTAGCCTATATGTATTCCACCGTACCGTATGGCTCCAAAAGAGTTGAAGGAGCAGCTTGAGGAGTTGTTAGCAAAGGGGTTTGTTAGACCAAGTATGTCACCTTGGGGTGCACTAGTGTTGTTTGTAAAGAAGAAAGATGGGACTATGCGGATGTGCATTGATTACCGCCAGTTGAACAAAGCTACCATCAAGAACAAGTACCCGTTGCCACGCATAGATGATTTGTTCGACCAGTTGCAAGGTGCTAGGGTGTTCTCTAAGATTAACTTGAGATCAGGGTACCATCAGTTGAGGATTCAGGACTCGGATGTTCCGAAGACTGCGTTCCGTACCAGATATGGCCATTATGAGTTTTTAATGATGTCCTTTGGCCTGATTAATGCCCCAGTGGTGTTTATAGACTTGATAAACATGGTGTTTAGACCTTATATTGATTCCTTTGTCATCGTCTTCATTGTCGATATTTTGATATATTCATGTAGCCTAAGGGAGCACGAGCAACATTTGAGAGTAGTGCTTCAGACCTTACGAGAGCAGAAGCTATATGCTAAGTTCTCCAAGTGTGAGTTTTGGCTAGAGTCAGTGGTATTCTTGGGGCATATTGTGTCAGGAGAGGGCATTAAGGTGGATCCTAAGAAGATTGAGGCAGTTCAGAGTTGGCCATGTCCTACTTCAGTGACCGAGATCAGGAGTTTCCTGGGATTAGCAGGTTACTACAAGCGATTCGTGCAGGGCTTTTCATCTATTGCATCACCTCTGACTAGATTGACCTAGAAGGGTGATCCTTTATGTTGGTTCGATAATTGTGAGGCGAGCTTTCAGAAGCTCAAGGCAGCTTTGACTATGGTACCAGTTCTTGTGTTACCTTCCAGTTCAGGGATGTATACGGTTTATTGTGATGCTTCACGCATTGGTTTGGGTTGTGTATTGATACAGGAGGGGCGAGTTATTGTATATGCTTCACGCCAACTGAAGATTCATGAGAAGAATTATCATGTACACGATCTAGAGTTGGCGGCGATTGTTCATGCTCTTAAGATATGGAGGCATTATCTGTATGGTGTGTCATGCGAGGTTTACACTGATCATCGCAGCTTACAGCATTTGTTCAAGTAGAGGGATCTCAATTTGAGGCAGCGTAGATGGCTTGAGTTACTGAAGGATTATGGCATCCCCATTCTTTATCATCTGGGCAAGGCAAATGTGGTCGCTGATGCCTTAAGCAGGAAAGCAGAGAGTATGGGTAGCTTGGTATTCATTTCAGTAGAGGAGTGGGCCACTAGCCTTGGACATCCAGTCCTTGGCTAACAGACTTGTGAGATTAGATATTTCAGAGCCCAACTGGGTCCTTGCGTGTGTTGTTGCTCAGTATTCATTATTGGGGCATATCAAGGCCCGACAGTTCGATGATCCACATTTGGCGGTCCTCAGAGAGACAGTGCTGCAGGGTAGTGCCAAAAAGGTTTCTATTGGCAAGGATGGTGTTCTGCGACTCCATGGTCGCTTATGTGTTCCTAATGTTGATGGTCTGAGGAAGAGGATTCTAGAGGAGGCACACAGTTCGCGGTATTCCATTCATTCGGGTGCTATGAAGATGTATCGTGACTTGAGGTAGCATTATTGGTGGCGGAGGATGAAGAAAGACATAATAGAGTATGTGGCTAGGTGTTTGAATTGCCAGCAGGTTAAGTATGAACACCAGAGGCCATGTGGCTTACTTCAGCAGATGCCTATACCAGAGTGGAAGTGGGAGCGCATTACTATGGACTTTATAGTGGGTTTCCCCAGACCTTGCGGAAGTTTGATGCAGTGTGGGTCATTTTTGATAGGTTGACCAAGTCGGCACACTTTATCTCAATTGTGACTACTTACACTTCAGAGAGATTGGCTCGGATTTACATTCGGGAGATAGTCCGATTGCACGGTGTGCCTGTCTCCATCATATCAGATAGATGCCCTCAGTTCACTTCCCATTTCTAGATAGCCGTTCAGAGTTAGTTGGGGACCCACATTGAGCTTAGCACAACATTCCACCCTTAGACCGACGGACAGTCAGAGCGGACAGTTCAGATTCTGGAGGACATGCTCAGAGCATGTGTGATTGACTTTAGAGGACAGTGGGATCAGTTCTTACCTTTGGCAAAGCTCGCTTACAACAATAGCTATCAGTCCATCATAAAGATGGCTCCATTTGAGGCTTTATATGGTCGGCGATGTCGTTCTCCTATCAGGTGGTTTGAGCCTGGTGAGGCTAAGTTGTATGGTACAGACTTGGTGAGAGATGCCTTGGAAAAGGTAAAGTTGATTCAAGAGATGCCTTGGGGAGGTTTCTTACGAGCTTGCTTTACCCCCAACTTGTCGGGAGTTCATCCAGTTTTCCATGTATCGATGTTGTGGAAGTATCATACCGACTTGTCCCATGTGTTAGACTTCAGTACTATTCAGTTGGATGAGAGTATAGGTTATGAGGAGGAGCCAGTTGCCATTATTGATAGACATGATCGCCAGTTGAGATCCAAGAGGATTTCCGCGGTAAAGGTCTAGTAGAGGGGCCAACAAGTTGAGGAGGCGACCTGGGAGTCCGAGGAGGACATGCGGAGCAGATACCCTTATCTTTTTCCTAGCTCAGGTACTTTTCTATGTCCGTTCGAGGACGAACATTTGTTTAAGAGATGGAGAATGTAACGACCCAACTGGTCGTTTTGCTTTTCAGAACCCCTCCCCCCTAAATAAAATGTTACGGGCTTGCTTTAACTAATTGACGACCCGCAGGGAGGTTGGTTCAGGATTTGGAAGAGTTTTAGTTGTAATAGGCACGCTTGAATCCCTAAGATTTTCTTAAAAGGATAAGTTTGACTTTGGTCAGCATTTTTAGCAAACGGACCCGGACTTGTGTTTTGACAATCCCGGAGGGTCCGTATGAAAATATGAGACCTGGGCGTATGCCCGAAATTGAATTCCGAGGTCCCTAGCCCGAGTGATGAATTTTTGTTAGAAATTGTTAAACTAAAATTCTAAGGATTTAATGAAATTAAATAATGCTTGATCATATTGGTATCATGCTCGTATGTTGGTTCCGGAGCCCGGTACAGGTCCAATATAATATTTAAGAATGACCCGCAAAATTTGGTGTCAATCCGAGTAGTATAAGTACGTTTCGTTAGAAGTGAATTGAAGAACTTGAAGTTCATAAGTTTGATTCAATTGGTTTTAGGGGGTGATTCTTAGATTTAGCATTTTTTCGGGCGTTCCAAGAGTTCGAGCGAGTCCGTTTTATGATTTCAAACTTGTCAGTATGTTCGGGCGGGGCCCGAGGGCCCCGAGCGTCAATCGGGCGAGGCTCGAGTGAAGTTGGAAAACTTGGGAAGGAGCTGAAGCTCCAATCTTCTATCATAACTGCACCTGCGGTTGGTCAGCCGCAGGTGCGAGACCGCAGAAGCGGCCAAGCCAGAAGCTGCAGAAGCGGCTAAGCTTCCGCAGAAGTGATTGCTTCCCGCAGAAGTGGCCCAACTGAGTTTCCGCAGAAGCGGACACCTTTCCGCAGATGCAGTGGGCGCAGGTGCATCCCAGGACCGCATATGCGGAAATCACTGAAGTAGTGACCTTCATTTATTACAGGCTCTAGTCTATTTTTGCTCATTTTCACTCATTTATTGGGCGATTTTGGAGCTCTTGAGAGAAGACTTTCACCTAGCATCTTGAGGTAAGTTCATCCTATTTATTTCTAGTTTAATACTTGAACTTTGGGTAGATTAACATACAAAGATTAAGGAAAATTATGGGATTAGAGCAAAACCTAGGATTTTGATAAAAGTTAGATTTAACCACAAAATTTGTTAGAGAATGAAGTAGAAATCATATATTATTGATCCTTAGGTTATAAAGAACAACTTTCTTCGAAAAGTTTCGGAATCCGGGCACGTGGGCCTGAGGTCGGATTTTAAGAAACTTGTGATTAAGGTTGGAAAATTACTTTAGTAATTAAAATGCGAACTCTTTAGCTTGTATTGACTAGTTCCTACCTCGTTTGATTAGTTTCGGATCGTTCGGCTCCAAATTGAGGGTTTGAACACGTTCTTGATATTGGGAGTACGCTTTGGAGCGAGATGAGTCTCCTATCTAACCTTGTAAGAGGGAATTATCCCCATAGGTATAATAATTGAATAATTTGCCACTAAATGTGGGGGCTGCGTACGCACTAGGTGACGAGAGTCCGTGCATA